TCTGGAAAATTTAAGGGGTAGTTATATAATAATTTTGGACGATCTCGGGCGGTCGGATACTTATGACTGCTACTGTAGATACTTTATAATAAAAAAAAGAAATAATTAAATTTTTATTTTATATAAATTTTTTTTTAAAAAAAAGAGTTTAAATATGATTTTAAAATTAGTATAAAAAAAAAATCTTTTTTATAGAATTTTTTTATATTCTTATATTATTTAATTGCTATTTATAATTATTAATTAAATAAAAATTAAATTTTAATGAAAAAAAAAAATGTTTTATTTAATGTTAATTTTTTATAGTTTATATTTAAATTAATTAATAATTAAAATAAAAATTATCTTATTTATAAATTAAAATGTTTATAATAAAGTAAAAGTTGAGATTATTAATTATTTTTTGATAATTATATATTTACTGGTTTAACCTTTTATAAAATTAGTTTATATTCAATATATCTTAGTAAAATAATTTTTAATTTTAACCATTTATTTTATAATTTTATAAATTAATTTATTATATATAATTTTATTAATATATATATTACAAATAATATTATAAAAATAAAATTAATTATATTAAAAAAATTTAAATAGTCTTAATTATATATGAAAAATAAAACTTTTTAATAACAATCAAAACTTAGATAAAGTTATATTAAAATTATATAAGAGATATAATAAAATTCTTTAAATATGATAAAAACTAAAACTATCAAAACTATATTAAAAATATAGAAAAGGATATTTTGGAGAAGTTTTGATAAGTATCTATAGTTTTAATAAATTAATTGTATAATTTTATTATAGGTTATTATTTTTAAAAATTAAAAAAATTTGAATTTATTATAATGATTAATAAAATTAATCTTATAATTTAAATATTAATCTTCTTAAATTATATTTATTTGATTTTAAATAAATATATAATAAAAATAATAAATATAAATTATTTAAATAATATAATAAATAAAATTAATTAATAAAATATTAAAAAAAAATTAAAAATATTAATACTATTTATCAAATTAAATTTATATTATTTTATAAAATTTATAATATAATTTATATCTTCTTAATATATTTTTATTATTTACTATTAAAACTTATAATTATTTTAAATTAAAAATTTATACTTTTCAAAACTTTTCTTTTTATTATATTATAAATTATTTTAATTAATTAAATATTTAAATAAACAAAACAAATTTATATTTTTAAAAGTATTACAATTAAAGTTGTTTATCTAAATTTATTTTAGATTTGATAAAATATTATAAACTTTAATTTTATTAATTTTTACTAAGGTTTTGATATAATTTCACATTTTATAAGCTTTTATCTTTTTTTTGAGTTTTACAGATTTTTTAATAAAATATTAATATAATTTGCTAAATTTTATCTTTTGCCATTTAGACAATTTGCAAAACCTCTAAGTTTTATTTAGTAATCTTAATTAATATATATTAAAAAATATTTATTTATAATTTTAAAGTTTATAAATAATATTTAATAAGATTTATTATTAGAAAAATTTATAATTTAGGATAATAATAATAATATAACTTTTTGTAAAATAATTATTAAAAAATAAAGTATAAATATTATTATTAATTTTTAAGTTAATTACTAATAATATAATATAATATACTTATCAGATATTATAAAAATAAATAAGTTATTATCTTATATTTACTAATAGATACCTATAATTTTAAAATACAAAATAATTGCTAAGATATTTATAATAATCCAAATATTTTTTATTTACTTGAAAACATTCTGTATAATGACTATGGTCACATAATAAATTATTATCTAATAATGATAATAATAGTAATAGGTATATATATTTTTTAATCATATAATCTATCTAATCTAAATCAGTAAAATAAATGCCGAATTACAATTTTACTAGGGTCGGTCTTGGACCGGTTAATTGGACCGGTCCTCGATCTGTATCCTGAAGACCAGTCTGAGACCAGTTATTATACTACTATTTTAATAATTAATTTCCGTTTACGGGAAATTAATTATTAAAATAGTAGTATATGAAACGATTAATAATGATTAATCGACTCTAAAAGCAATTCTACTTAGTTGAATTGTTTTCCTATTTGAACATTGTAAAAAAATTTTTGTATTAAAATTTTATTATTTATTTAAGGCACTTTGTCAATAAAGTTTATCTTTACAACGGATTTTTGAAATTTATTAAAAATATTATCAATTCGCTAGTTATGAAATTTTCGTACTTTGTGTCTAATAATATTTCTAAATATGTTCAATCAGAAAAAAAGAATTTTATGGATAGTTTTAATTTTTGATAAAAATCTTTTTTTTTCTGAGGATGAAAGAAATAATTGCTTGAAAATTTTGAAATTAATATTCATTTGCTCACACTTTTAACGTAATTTCCAGTTCGAAAATTAAATTTATTTGAAAAATCATTTTTTACTTTTTATTTATTAACCCAGGTCATTTGAGTCTCGAATTAATACAACTTATAATTTCTATACATTATTTTGACTGCATACAAACGTCAAATACCTACCATATACGCATACTTTATTAATTTTGTTACTACGAGACCGCACATGACAGTTGTCTTACATCCAATAATTTTACTTTGTTGAGAAATATCACACATATCACACATATTACAATATTAATTATGCACAACGGCTTCATTGTAATTTGTCCAACAACTTTTTATTAGTCATTTAGAATTTTGTTCGAGTTTTCGATTAAATGTCTTCTCATCTTGAGGAAATATTATCCGAACTATCATTATAGTCATAACTGGATAATGGTGATGATGGCAGTGTTGTCCCTAGCCTATAACATCCAGTTTTTTCTTGACAGGTGTTATTATCAGAGAATTTTCGAGGGCACGTTGTTCATCTTTGGGCTCCTTAATGAACCAGTTTTTGTTGTACGTCGATAAGACATTTTGCGTTATATTTGTTGTCTAATCATGGGATCAATAACGGATGTTTCCTCACCAGAGTTTGAAGGTATGGGTTTGTCTACATTTCCTCTCAAGATCGTCTTCATATATTTTCATGAAGTGACTTACCAACCTCCAATTTAAAACGCATGCGTCTTCACTTCTACTACTAACATTAATTTATTATATTGTTTGTAGATACATTCCTTTAACTTGGTATATTTGAAATCCACTCAAATTTCTCTTAATTCGCGTAATACCGTTATTGAATACCTCTTTTGATATATCATCACATCATCATATTAATGAAACCTTGATTTTTACTGGCAACATTCCCATATTGTTTGCAATATGAATTGTTAATACGTTTGTTCCATAGTATTTGACGACGTCATATAGTGAATCAATATAACGATTTTTTTTTTATGTAAACAAGTTTTTATATAAATTGATTGAATTTAATAATGTTATGTTAAAAATAAAATAAATAAAGCATTATATAAGAGTTGGAATGATGGAGTAATGCTTGGTTACAATTACTTTTTCTTTTTTAATTCCAATGTCACGACAATGACTAATGTTATTGATAAAAAAAAATTAATTTAACATCATTGAAATATTGCATAGATATCGAAAGGTACGAAAGAGTACAAAAAGTTTGTATAAAAATTATTATAATATTTCTTATGTAGTAATTGGAACATTATAAAGAAAATTAATTATTACTTATTTTTTTATTTTTATTCAAAACAAAATTAATTATCGCCGTATGGTGATCAAAATTAAAGCATCGAAAACCATTTGTTTATAAAAATACCAAGACAAAAAAAAAAAAAAGTGCAAAATTATTTTTTAAAAAAAAGAAACCCTCTTTAAAGAATAAACAAAGAAGTACATTTTCCAAGTTCTCCATTTAAAATGAAATTACTTATAGTATACGTCTTATGTGAGCACCGATCCTTTTTCATGAATATTATTGTTTACTTTTAAAGTTTATTACTTATTATTAGAATACACAAAGTTTGATTGCTTTATTATTGAATACACAAATTTTGATCACTTTATAATAAAGTAATTATATTATTTACAATTATGTTTAGGTTATAACTTTGTGAAAAGGTAATAGGCGGAAGTTTAATTATAATATTGTTATTAATGTAAGACAAAGGATTTCGGTTATTAGTACTAGAAAAATGCTTTCGATTTTTGCCATAAGAAGTAATCATTGGGAATTAGAGTGAAAAGGTGGTTTAATAGGTTAACTTGAATTTTGAATATTTTGTGTTGCAGAAGCTTGAGTTTGAGTTTGAACAGTAGATATAGGCGAATCATTATATACCACAACTTTTATTAATCTTTTAACAACTCGAAGCCATTTTGCAGTATTTTTTTTAGCGATACCTGTTGTAATTCATCGGTTTCCTCCTGGTTGAAAGTTGAGAGACTTTTGTAAAGTTCATAATTTCTTTATAAAGTTTTTTGAAAAAAGTGGAAGAATTTTAAAAAGTTTGCGAAAAAAACGAGAGAAAATAATCAATAATATTTATATAAAAAAGGATCGGTACTTACGTCATATAACCTTATTATCAGTCATAATTGATTTATACACATATAGGATGCTATTATATCATGTGACCGAACATGACCGATAACAATATAAATCTCTAGAATTTAATTGCTGATCACTGCCGATCATACTATTTTCGAATGGGCTAAATTTTTAGTGAAACAAAAAATATATAAAGTGGTAATAATCATCAATTAAACGTCTCTCTTTCTTCTTTCTTCCTCTTTTCTATCATGTCATGTTCAAAAATTTTCACTGGTGATTTACCAGAAATAACAATTTTTATTATACAATATTTACGAAATGATATAAAATCACTTCATTCGTGCATTTTGGTCAATCGACATCTATGTCGGGTTGCAATTCCCATACTTTGGGAGGATCCTTTTTCGGTTAAATGTCAACCTAAAAATGGCATTAGTTTACTTGACATGTATTTTTTATTTTTTAATCAAGAAGATAAAGCAAAGTTAAGAATTACAACAAATCTGTCATTTAGTCCACTTTTTAATTATCCCAACTTTATTAAAGTATTAAATACAAATAAAGTAAAATCGCACATTTTTGACAGGGTAATTAGTTATACCAAAGAAGGTTATGAATTTGTAAATTTAGTTTGTATTTCATTATATAAGTTATTCATTATTCATAATGCTTCCTTAAATGAATTATTTATAAATACCATACATCATAGATCTTTATCTATATCTGAATTGAATTTGAATAATCCAACGTTTATATCAAATATTAAAAGGTTACATTATATTCTTCTACTGGAGAACTTCAATCCTTTTTAACATCGACATCTTCAATTAAACATCTTAATATTCATGTGGATGAATTTGAGGCATCAGAAATTCTATCAGATTTAATTCAATCACAACCTCAACTTTTGACTCTTTCAACTCAATATTCAAATGTTTCTTTATCAAATGCTGCCTTTAAATCATATCCCATTTCATTAACTTCGATTAAATTTACTTTTTGTGATTTCTTAAACGTCTCATCATTTGATGATTTTAAATATCTCACACAATTAAGATCTCTTCAATTTATTTATTGTAAAGGGATAAATACTCAATTTTTTCAGCCGTTACTTGATATTTCTACACCATCATTAGAAATTAAAACTTTAAAGGTAGTTGGTATGATCGAAGGAATTACTTTATTACTTCAGAAAATTGGTCCTTATTTAGAACTTTTAGAATTAAACCTTACGAATGTTTTGGAAAAAAATAAATCATTTGAAAGCGTTGTGGATTATTGTAATAAAATTAAATATTTATGCGTAGGTAACTTTGATGATGGAAATATACTTCAATTATATAATATGATTACTCATAATAAACATATTAAGTACCTCACAATTGGAAATGATAATGCTCGTCGTAAATCAAATATTTTAGAGGGATTAGGTCAAATTTTACCAAATTCTTTAAAATATTTAATTTTAGTTTTGCCAATTGATCCAATTCATTTGAACATCTTTTTTGATCATTGTCATCATATCGACAATTTATTAATTAAAAATCTCAATCGTAATGATATTGACATCACTTTTAAATACTTGAAAAACTTTGTAAAGGAGAAGAAGGGGGTAAAAAATCTTGCATATTATGTCAACGATATTTTTGAACCTTTGATACATCAAAAGTTGGAACAGATGGCTTGTGAGATTCAACCTTTTGTAAAAATGAAGGATTTTTATGAATCAATTGTAGACATTTCTGATTTTGAAATATCATGTTAAAATTGTTTACGAGATTAATTGTTTAAATAAAATTTCTTCATCATTATTTTAAAAATTCTGTTAGTCTTGTTTTTAAGATAAGAAATTGACAATACATTTTTTTTTTATGAAATAAATTTAAGAAACAAAAATGGGTGAAAATAGATTATAAATTTAACGAAATTGGAACTTTTGGAAACATAATTTTAGCTGAAATTATCAATTATTTGATTAGATTTAATAAAATACATCAACGAATTTATATGACACTAGTAAATAAATATATTTTCTTTGATTAGTCATTAAAAAGAAACAACACTCGTATCACTCGTACGTTAATTTCTACTTTAACCTCTTCATTACTTCGTATCGTGTACCAATTAAGTCTCGATGTCACACAGATCATGACCCAACAATGCGTATACTCCCATGCCATGCCTTATTATTTAAAATTACTTCCACACCTTCTCCTCGAATTAATTTTTATTACGGTTATATTTTAATATATATAAAATTTCATAAAATTTTATTTCTAAATATTTAATTTTACTAATCATCAAGTATTTCTTTAGACAGGGCGAAAAGTCGTGAATTTCTAGGTATATATATATATATATATTTATTACTCTTTATTCTTACATACTTAATTATCTTTTTCTTTTTCTTTTTCTTTTTTTTTTAACGAATCCATTTGCCGGGGTCTCGATTTTCGAGTTATCACCTTTGGAATATCGAAATCAAAACCGTTTGCGTAACAAAACGATAAGTTAGTTTATTCATTAATAATTATCTGTTTTAATCTCTAATATTTTTCTGTCTAAATAAACATTCCAACTAATTCTGCATGTGAACATTTATAAAAATTATTTTGTTGTAGCCCAAATACAAATACGTGATGAGCTCTGACATTGTCTTGTTGAAACAAACCATTACTTTTTTTGGAAACGCGCTTTATTGTGATTATATCATGGTTGTACAGTATTTCAACATATACAGATCCGGTTTCTGATCCATAAAGCGGCATTATTGGTCCCATCCCATTATTATCGGGAATAACAGCCCGAAACATGCGGCTGTAACTGTGTATTACCTTGAATGAGAACCACGAGAGATAACAATCATCTGCTGGTGTTGAAATTGAGTAAAAGTCGATTCATCACTTCGTAGGACTTTTGCTCAATCATTTTGTGTCCAGTTTCAAGACACCATTCATTCTATTTACCATTAAATGAGTGACTTTTTTTCGTGCAATACGACTTTTAACCCAAGTTAATAGCATCAAAATTTCATCATCTACAAGTATTCAATAGTGACCAAACATTATCTAAAAATTCGCGTAAATACTTCTGTTAATAATCATTTGGAAAAAATTTATTTAAAAAATTTTCAACATTTTTTTCAAAACTTTATTCTTTTCAGAAAACGAAATAATATTTAAAAAAGATTTTATTTTTTGTTGAATTGTAAAATTGTAAATAATAAATAATGATCAAATAAAATAATAAAATAAAATTGGGACATGTTACGTATACCGCCTGCCCGACGTGGGCAACGACGTATTGTTTCCAAAACGGCACGTGAGCATCCCTGGTTTCAAGTAGTAATTTGTACAGAAAGAATACACAAACAAAACTTGTGGATTCTGTAAACAGCTTGGTGGATCCAAGGTATTTTGCTATCCCCAATGTAAAACACACCTTGATAGAGATATTAATGGTGCTCGCAATATTCTTCTTTGATATATTACAAAAAAGGAGTCAACTTAGGCTGACACAGTGATGGCAAATTACCAGGTCATTTGACCATTTTGAAATGACCTTCAAATGACTTTCAAATGACTATGTCATTTTGGTCATTAAAAATAAGTCATTTGATGTCATTTAAGGTCATTTACATAATTTATTTATATAAACCAATAAAAATTCATATTATTTGATCATCT